AAACCATTCTATGATTCTAAATCTACCCGCATTACCTGCTTCTAATCCTAGGCTGTGACTGCTCGCCTCCACCTTTTCCCAGGAATGGTCACATGCCAAGCCCTACACCACCCTTTGTCTCGGAGCAGCTACTCTTGAAGGCAAATGCAGGGACTTGCCTCCAGCGAAGAGGTTCACCCGTTACAGCGTACACTAGAATTACACCAGTATAACTTCCCTAAACACAAAGAAAAACCCCTTGATTTGGAAGCAGAGCACACGAGGTACACAAACAGCAACGCCAGTGTAAACCGTTACTGCCCCTTAAACTTTCTCAGCCCAGCTCCCCCTCTGCAGGCAACCGCCTCTGAAGCTCGTTGGCAGTCCTGCTCATGTGAACAGTCTCCCTCGCCAGCTGCAGTCAGTTTTTCACATTTCTCCAGCCAGCCTGAGCTACTTTGACTCACTGAGGTTAGAAAACATTGATAGGAGTAGCTCTACAAACAGCGGCCAACGAATGACAGACAGCCAAGTGCAGAAACACCTTTCATCGGTTCAGGTGGCTACGAATCCCACCAAAAACCTGATCAGCCAAGGACATTCAAGGGGTTACACATTCCCACCAGCAGCACAGCTATACTGTTAAGCTGCCCCTAGCCATAGTCCATCCAAAGTGAACTAGTAAGTCTCTGTATATTTTAAGACTAGTAAGAACTACCCTCTTACACAATCCGGTTCAAGTTTTTGCAAGTCTCTTGCACTGCTCCAGCTTAAAAAAAAGTTAGGAATAAAACCAGGAAAGCGCTAAAAGAAGAGTGATAACGGGGAACGGCAATGTCAAAATATGGATGTTACTGTAACTGAATACATGAACCAAAACTTTTTAAAATCAAAGTGCTAAGTGTTCGGGGAAGTCATGTCAACTAAGTGTCAAGAGGTGCCAACTTTCCAGAAAAGTGTTTTGGTCGTTATGAGAGCAAGATAGTTTGTTATATCCAACAGCAGCTTCAAGAGAGTTTTAGAAAAAGGTTTGTTGACATAAAGACTACATTAACCACACTTTCAGAATTTTCCCCCCTCACACATCTTTTGAGCATTACCACAGTGCCTCAACAAGACAATCCCAACAGTATTAATGACCTCTGCGTGCAGAAACTGTCATTTTAACAGTCAGACACAGTCACACAATAAGGTTTAAACTCTGTTCATAACTTGCCTTGCACTCACAGGTACCAACTGCGGAACAAACGCACATGTGCCATATTATACGCACTCCAACATTCCTGAAAGGTTTAAGGATGGAGTTTCAGGCAGTACTCCCAAGATTAATCTCATTAGTCATTAGTATTTTGTTGAATTGTCGTTTTAAAAAAACGGTGCCTAAACCTAGAATGAAACATGATTGCAAAGGTACTTGGACTCTGGTAGAGATTCCAAACTTCTGTAATCTGAGAGACTAAATCTTACAAAGGTTTGGTGTTTGTTTTGGTTTTTTTTTTTTGGTACAACAGAAATGGATTAAACCGAGTGTTACTACTAAATGGCAATCTTTAGAAGTAACAATCACTAAATCTGCATGCATCCATGGCAAAGATTTAACAACCATTAACAGACTCTTTATAGAAGTATTTCTAAAAAGCAGACCCTAAATTACTAAACCCAAGGTAATCCTTATCTTTGCAGTTCAAAACTGTAACACACCGGTACACTCTGAAGAGTGAGCAACAATGAATGTCAACAGTAGATTTCAGATTGCCTTTGGCCTCTTAGGCTAAGCTTGCCATTTACACTTGAAAGAGGACGCCATAACCACTAGTTTCTGCAAATCTGGGAGGAACATGTTGACTTTTGCATTACATGTAAGCATTCTGATGGAAGTTTTCTGAACTAGGAAGGATTACAGAGTGAATAATGCAGTAGTCTTTGAGCTTTGAAGTCCTATTTTCTCCCAGTGCTTTTAAAATCTGAGTCTGACTTAACATAGAGGACTCTGAAGGCTGGAGATTTCCAAGGTTTTGATGACAAGAATTATATTTCAATTAATTTCTACTGAATGTGTTGTCAGATTTCTAGGAACTCAGTTCTCACTGAATTCCTATTTCCAGAGCTAAAGTGTTTAAAACTGTCTAAAAAGAGACATCCTTCAAGAATATAGAAGAAAACCCAGTGATACAGAAAGGGCTTCTCTCCCTTGTCAATGCTCCCACCTCTCATTATATGTACACTTTGCAATCTCAAAAATGCTAATCAAGCATAACCAAGACGTTTTAGACAGTCAAAATCACACATTTACACAGCAGCCACTGTGAACTTTATTAAGAAAAGAAGTGTTTGCCAGTTAAACTGCCACCACTTTATTAGCTTCTTCGCTTACTTGTAGAAAATCAGTTCTTTTATAATGGATCTGGAAATTATTTATTGCCAGGTAAATGTGAATCACTGGCAACGTGTGCTCTCCTTGGAGCTCTGGCAGCCTTACCGTGAAGAGCTCCATATGCCTTTGCAAAACGCAAAGTAAGCAACACATCTTTCACTCAAGCAACAAAGTCATTCTTGAGGCAGGCGTCATGCTAGCCAAACAGCAAAAACACCTTTAGATTAAACAATCTTTTCTATCATGACAGTTCCACAAAATGAAGTGCAATTTGTGAGGGGAAAAAAAATCCGTAAGACACCAGTCATGCATTCTCTTGATGTAACTCTGTAGTCAAGTCTTATTTCTCAGGCTGGAGAGGTTGAGCTCAAGTTAAACACAGCATGAAGATTTATTTTCACAAAAATGTCCTGTTGCTAATGCATCTGCTTTTGCCTCCTTTCCTCGTTAATAGTCCTATGCAGTCCCATGCATTAGACATCAGAACAAGGCTTCTTCATTCATGAGTTGGAGTTGTGGTCAATCCGCTAACCACTCACAATGCAGACTATATACACCTCTGAAAAGTTCTCCATTCCCAAGTAATCCAACCATCACAGAAGATATTATCCTATTTCTTCAACTCCATAAGTTGTTTTAATTTCTTTTTCATCTTCATCTTGTAGCCACATGGCAAAATAGCATTGTCACGGGCTACGTATGTAAGATTTAATCTTTATTAGTAATTTCAGTAGATTGCTCGAGGATTTTTTGTACTGTAGTAGGCTTCACATGCAGCTACGTAGGCAGATTCTGGGAAGAAATCATCATGGTATTCTGCTAAAAACCTGAGAAGAAAGCAGACAAAAAAAAAGAAGATAACATGAAACATATAAAAGAAAAGCTATTTTCAATTTAATTTTTAAGATCAGCAAAACCACAGCCTGGAAATTTAGAATATTACACTTTGTATTTTGGTATACCAAAGGCTTGCCCTACTTTGACAAGTTTTACATAGTGAGAAACAGCCTTCCTCTATCATTCTCAAATCCTTACAGCATTAAAAAATTTGCTCAAGTTCAATTAAAAAAAAAATCTAAAGTTGAAGCAACACTCAGAAAAGAATTCAAAGAACCATCACAGAAGAAAAAAATAAGCTGAGAGATGTTTCTGCAACTCCTGTCAGTCACCTGCTCAGCATACCATTTTTTTTTTAACTGAAAACCCAGGTTTTGACATATCACTATCCTAGTATCTTACACAAATGTCCAGTAAACATTGAGTCAAACAGTATCTTTTAATGTAAGAAAAGCTATGATTTGTTCTTTCATATGTCTGTGCATTTAAGAGTCTCCAATCCTCATGAAATCCAAGTGAAATATGGCATCAAAGACAAATACGCAACCTTTGTGAATCCAGTTCCCTAATTTCTGATTTCTCCAAGCTGGTCTTCAAATATTATTCAAACAGCCAACCACCTGATATTTTATCATGTCTTCCTGCTCTGCTAACATACACCTCTTTCTTCGGTTTAGGACCAGAATCATAAGCAAGCCATGCTGCCATTAACACCAGCAGCAAACAGCCAAAATGACTATCAGACCTCTGCTCTTTCCTTTGTGTACAAAGATACCGGTTATGCAAATGGAGGCAAAAGGTAGCACGGGATCAAGTTGTATTTCAGAAAAAACACCCACAAACATTCAAAGGCACCTAGATATTACAGATCAGCATCAATAAACACGGCAAAACGCTAACTGCACGTTCTCTGCTTCAGCTCAAGCAGGAAGCAATGGGAACAACAGCAAACAATGTACTTTCCAGAATCCAGTTTCTCTCAAGAATCACTGGCTAGGGAGATGACCTCACTATTGGAAGCTAAAAATATCAGTTTTGCATAACCAGTACTCTGGACACAGGAGCACAAAAGGTCCAAAGTAAAAAAGGTACAGGTGACTGCAATTAAAACCACAGTGTTTCTCCAAGCTCACTCACAACTATGCTGACTGAACTAGGCACGTCCTTTGATCTTCAGAAACCCAAAGCATCAAAGAACACTGGCAAGATTCTGTGTATAAGGCAATCTAAATTTAATCAGGAACATATTAATTGCTGAGAGCTCATACAGAAAATTTACAGCACAAAACTCAGGTAAATGAAAAAAGGTTGATTTTCCCAAACACACAATCCTTGTACTTAAACACAGGCATACAAACAAGTGCTAAACTGGAGGAATAACTGGTTAAATCCTACTAATTCTAAGAAAAGCAGTGAGAAATGCAAGCCTTTTTGGAAGAAATCAATCCTCCAGCGTGTCACCATTTATTTAGAGGGTACTTTGTCAACTTCCTCCACACTTGTTTATTTCCTTAACAGTAATAGGGGAACCTAGGGTGGTTTCTGATGTAAATGTTTCAGAATTAAGACACGCAAGTGAAAAGGCTGGACAACCAATAGACTTCCAGAAGATCAAATGGCAGTTTCGTCTTGCTTTTAAGCATTACCTAAGGAATTGAGCAGAAAAGTCTCCCTTATATGACCCTTAACAGTGTCTAATCAAACACATAATTTCTGGCAATATTCAGCTGGGGCAGGTACTGCCAAAAGGAAGAAAGATCTCTTGTATTTAAAGCAAGGATCCAACTGGCTCTGCCACAAACTGACACCACGGAAGCTATCACAATAAATACATATGAGCTAAGTAAATTTCAAGTTCCACGCAGTCTTCATTCACACAAGCCTAAGCGCATTAAACACTTGAGCATACTTTGTTTAACATACTATGTTAATTTCTCATTGTGTCCAACAGCAGCTTCCAGTTTTATTAAATGGCACAAAGTAAAAAGGATTACATAATTAAAATTGAGAGATAATTAAGAAGAAAAAGGGCTTAAGAGGCCATAAATTGCTCTAACACTACCTCAAATGCCTTTTCTTCATAAAACAGATAGCCCTTAGAAAATAATCCAAAGAAACACAAAAACAATTCACACAATGAGATCATTCTAATCTTCACTGAAATGTGACATTCATTTGCACTACACACACAACTCTAGGAAAACCACAAGAGTATGGAATTATAGCAATTTAGAAGCCAATAAAATGCTTGAGTCATCAACTGCTATGACCTCTGAGTGTGGCTGGCTACAAATCACTTTCTGGGATATGTGAGGCTGGTATGAGGCGAGTGTGATAAGGCCTAAAACTTAACAGACTGGAGTCTAACTTTTAACACACCCAGATTGCAGAAGATTAAGATGAGCCACAAGTGGATTTAATCAATACTTCTTCATTAACACACACTAATGACTTCAAGTGAGTGCAAACTACAGGGGCTGATCACATTCTTAGTGTCACTGGCTAGCATTCTGTAAAACTCAGTACCCAAGTGCCCGATCACGTGAGGCAATATGTTTTAAAACAACATCAGTTAAACAAAGGAACCTGTAGAGGATGTTGGGTAGCTGACAGTTGCAAGAATTTTAAGGGCAAGTAATGAAAATGAACAGACCCATCTTCTCTTACAAATTTCCTGACTTTTGCTTAAGATCACCAGTCATAAATGCCAGTTTGGTGCAAGCTAAAGTGACAGCTGGTAAAGATGAGAAATTTTAGCTGAGATGCTTGTGGCACAGCTACAACAAAAATAAAAAGGCAGGCAGAATGCATGCAGTCAAGTGTACAACACTCCATTCTTAATGTAACAGTTGTGAAAAGCAAAATCCCCCAGAACTGGAAGATACAAATTACTTCTGCAGCGAAGCAAGAGGCAACAGGAAAAGAACACAAGGTCAGCTTCTGTCCCAACCCCTTGTCTGTCTGGATACAAAGAGCCCTTCTGAAGCTGCATTCTATTCAAAATACATCGCAGAACAGAAAGTTGGCACAGAAATGCTAGGAGTCTCAGAAGACTCAGCTACTGGATATTTCACTAATGCTTTGCTCTTGGAAAAGCTGAAATAGCACAAAGATCAATTTCACTGGCACCTGCAAATCATGAGCCAAGATTTAAAAACAGAGGGAGCTGTATTTAGCAACCAGAGCCAACATTCAGCTCTAGATCAGAAAGCACATTGCTATTTAGCTATTCAGAAATAATTACATCACTTTTACCTTACAAATCTGATAAATTCAGTCACCTGAATGCAGACACCTTTTTAATGTTTATCATTTTTACAGAGTTCATATGCATACACCTACACAGTGAAACTGCTCGTGAGTAATTGAGTTCTGAGACGCACAGTCCACACAAACATCCTGATGTAAGAATGTATGCTTTTTTTTCCATCATGATCATCCACAAAATGACTACTTACGCTCTACACTCCTGCTCAGAACACAGAGGTAGCAGGGGACAATGCAGCTACTTCCCTCTCTAGCCCAGGCACCCTCACTTCAGAAGGGACTAGAGGGGATGGAGACAAGGGAAACAGACATGCGGTGGGCAACCTAGCTTGAAGAATTCCCATGTTCCGACCTTCAGGTGCAGCATTCTAAGCAAGCTTACCTCCAGTGACTCCAAGCAGTAGTCTCACAAATATATTACCATCTGGCTACAACTTACACAGGCAGATCTACCAAAAGGAGGCATAGAGCTATCGTTATCCACATTAAAAGACCACTTGCCATGTATATGTCAGGCACATTTCTCGCAGTCACTGAATTAATACGAGCTTCAAGAGTGTCATCTGGTAGCAAAACCATCCTTGCCTTGGCAGCATATGTTGGGTTTGTGTATTGGGGTTTTGGTAGTGGGAGAGGGGCCACAGGCGTGGGTCCTGTGAGAAGCTGCTAGAAACTTCAACTCCAAATCAGACCTACCTCTGGCCAAGGACATGCCAATTAGCACCTCTGTGAGAAACATATTTAAGAGAGGAAAACACAGAGACCTGCAGGAGAGAGGAGTGGGATGCAAGACAGACAACAAGGATCCATACTGGAGCAGGCTGCTCCTGAAGTACTGCATTCTGCAGAAAGGACCGATACTGGAGCAGTTAGAGAAGAAAACTGCATTTTATGGGAATGGCTCATGCAGGGGAAGTTCATGGAGGACTGTCTCCCGTGGGAGGGACCCCATGCTGGAGCAAGGGCAGCGTGTGAGGATCCCTCTCCCCAAGGAGGAAGGAGCAGCAGAGGCAACATGTGATGGACTGACCACAACCCCTCATTCCTCTTCCCCCTGTGCTGCTGGGAGGGAGGAGGGAAAGAAATGGGGAGCAAAGCTCAGCCTGGGAAGAAGGGAGGGGTTGGGGGAGTTGTTTAAGAATGGGTTTTGTCTCTCATTATCCTACTCGGATTTGACTGGTAACAAAATAAATCATTTTTTCTTCCCCAGTCGAGTCTGTTTTGCCCGTGACCATAACTGGTGAGTGATTCCTCCCTGTCCTTGTCTGGACCCACAAACTTTTCCTGGTATTTTCTCCTCCCCATCCCACCAGAGGAAGGAGTGAGTGGCCTCATGTTGTTGAGTTGCCAACCCGGGTTAAACCACAACACAGCATCAACACAACCTATTATCTGAACAGCTTCCGAAGAAAAATACTCTTCTAAATGTCATCTACCATCACATGAATAAACTCAGGAATGGCCTGAAAAGTGTGAAAATTATGAAGACAGGAAAACCTTAATAATTTTAAGGACAGTTTCAGCCATAAAGGTATAATGATACAGAGCTAGAAGAAAAGTTTCCAGGAAGGAGACATCTTCACACACTTTCAAAACAGCTCTTGGTTCTAGAAGGTAAATAGATGCTCTGATGAGATCAGTGGCCTGGGCAAGATGTTGTTTGAAAGGCAACCTTAATGATCTATCTAAAGGAATTTGCTTAAAGAGCATGATAGGTCCCAAC